GGGGGGCCGGGGGGGAGGCGGTGCCGTCCAGGCCCAGATGGGCAGCTGCAGTGTCTGCGTGAGAATCAGGTTTAACCCAGAAAGTGCCTGACACCTGACTTCCTTCACGTTCAGTAAGTTAAGTCTCTAAATTTAAACATTTTACTCTCTGAGAACAAGCAAAATAGAACAGGTGCCAGTCACAGTCAGGGGCAGGTGGGCCGGTGGGATCTGAGAAGAGTAAGATGTCTTGAAAGATCTCCAACAACCAAAACAGAGTTGGAAATTTGGTCTAAAGAGAGTTAACATTTCTCTGTTTCTTTAGGTCACCGTAAAGTTTTGTATTTTGCCTCAGAACCAACTCATAAACATCAATATTTTTAAACATTTTAAAATTCAATGTGAGAAGAGTTGTCTTTGGTTCCACTGGAGGGCCGTGAGTGTGTATATATGTGTCTGTGTGTGTGCATGCATGTGTGTGTGTGTCCGTGAGGCTGGCAGTGCCCTGCATCGGGGCACGGAGGCCCCCGGGTTCCCCCTGCCGCCTCCCGTGGGGCAGCTGGCCACATGCGCCCAGGTCCCGTCTTGCAGGGGGAGGCGGCATGGCTGGGCCTGCAGTGAGCTGACCGTTTGTGGAACATTTGCCTGGTGAGAAGGGAGGGGAGGGGAGGCAGTAGGTGGACACGGCAGGAGTTACAGCAGTGGCCTGGGAACCACGGCCATCTAGGAAAATCACTCTGATTTCACATGAACAAAAAGGTCTGCTTAGGAATCCACCCAGCTGTGTGCAGAGCACCATGGCCCCCGAGAGCCGCTGGACTAGACCAGGACGGGAGTCGGGAAGCCGGGGGGAGGTCCCTCCCCTCAGGCACCTTGCCCAGTGTCCTCGGCTCTGAAGTGAGAGCGTTAGCAGCCTGCGGTCGTCTCCCTCACGCTGGCACCTGTGCCGTGTAACTGCCGCCCGCTCAGGGCCACACGTGCTGTGGACAGCCACCAAACCCTGCTCGGCGGACAGCCAGGAGATATGCATGCACGTGCCTGCTCACACCTGTGCGTGCACGTACACACACACACACACCTTCCCGTGGAGAGTTCCCGCTGGTCAGCGGGAGCACAGCTCCCCATGACAGCAAATTCCGACGGCCGTCGGGGCCCGCGGCTGCCCGGGTGCTGCACCCTCAGCTCACCTGGCGAGCCTGCCTAGTAACGAGCCTGTTCCCTTGCAGGTTAGCAGTCCGAAGCGATGGGCGACTGGAGCTTCCTGGGGAGACTCCTAGAGAACGCCCAGGAGCACTCCACCGTCATCGGCAAGGTCTGGCTGACCGTGCTGTTCATCTTCAGGATCCTGGTGCTGGGGGCCGCGGCCGAGGAGGTCTGGGGGGACGAGCAGTCGGACTTCACGTGCAACACGCAGCAGCCAGGCTGCGAGAACGTGTGCTACGACCGCGCCTTCCCCATCTCGCACGTGCGCTTCTGGGTGCTGCAGATCATCTTCGTGTCCGCGCCCACCCTCATCTACCTGGGCCACGTGCTGCACCTGGTGCGCGTGGGGGAGAGGGAGGAGGGGCGGCTGAAGGCCGACGGGCCGCCCCTCGGGCAGGACAGGCCCCCGGTGCGCGGCGACCGGGGCGAGGTCCGCCTGGCCGGCGCCCTGCTCCGCACCTACGTCTTCAACATCATCTTCAAGACGCTGCTCGAGGTGGGCTTCATCGCCGGGCAGTACCTCCTGTACGGCTTCCAGCTGAAGCCGCTCTACCGCTGTGACCGCTGGCCCTGCCCGAACGCGGTGGACTGTTTCATCTCGCGGCCCACGGAGAAGACCGTCTTCATGCTCTTCATGCTGGCCGTGGCCTGCGTGTCCCTCTTGCTCAACGCGCTGGAGATCTACCACCTGGGCTGGAAGAAGCTGAAGCGCGGCATGACCGACCCTAACCGCCCGGACACTCCCGGCTCCAGCGTGAGGGCCGCAAAGCCTGCGTGTGGGCGCCCCCGCCTGCTGCCCTCCCTCGCCAACCCACCCGCCCTCACCGTCGGGCTCCCGCCCTCCTACGCGCCCTCGGCCTCTTCCCTGGGGCAGGCGTCGGCCCCAGGCTACCCCGAGCCCCCTCCGCCGGCAGCCCTGCCCGGGACCCCCGGCGAGGGCCTCCCGGCCGGCTCCCCCGGCGGCCACCAGCACGTGCTCGCGACGGCGCCGAACTGGGCCGGCCGGGAGGCCGAGCAGCAGACTTCTGCCGGGAAGGCCTCCCCGCCGTTGTCCGCGCCCGCGGCCCCGAAGCCCCCGGCCGGCCCCCAGCAGCCCCCTCCGGAGGGCGGGGCGGGGAGCTGGGGCGACAGCGACGGGGAGGGGGCGGTGACTGCCGTGGAGCTGCACGCGCCGCCCGAGCTCCCCGCAGACCCCGGCCGGTCCAGCAAGGCCAGTAAGTCCAGCGGCGGCCGGGCCAGGGCCAGTGACTTGGCCATCTAGCGGTGGCCTGGCATCCAAGACCCGGGGGGCTCACACCGGCGGTGGAGCCTGGAGGCGGGAGGAGGGGGCGAGCGAGGGTCGGGCTCGTGTGTCTGCTTGCTGTTCCTAACGCTGGGAGGTAGTGGGGAGCGCGTCCGAGGCAGGGAGGGGGCGCGGGGGCGCAGGGGCGGGGCCGCCAGAGATTCTCCCAGCAGCCCCCGCGCCCAGCCTCCGCAGGTGCTGCGGTCTCCGCGGGGCGCTGTTCCGTGGTGGGAAGGCAGGGGTGTCTGCGGCAGGCAGTTCGGTTTTCCTTTCCTACGCCCCCATCCCCGCCCCGGAGCCTCTGGACGGCCCAGCAAGTCTAGATGCTCTTAGCCTTATCTCTGTGTGAGACTTTAACTCAGAGTTGAATTTCATTTGGGATATTTGCCAAACCGCACTAAAAAAAAGATTTTGAGCAAGTCCATGTAGCGTCAGAGTTTCTGAACCGACATGTGAAGCCCAGGATATCAAGCCACACACTTCCTGACAAGCGACAGGAAGCAGCCGCCCATCAGAGGCAGAGCCGCGGCAGGGGGAGAGCAGACCCTTGAGATAAGTCTGAACAGCCGAGGAAACTGAGTAAAAGTGTGGTCGCTATGCCTTAGGTATTTATTTTTTAAATGACATTTTGTGCTTTGATCTGAATCGTACAGGTAAGCCTATTTCCCCCGCTTCCTATCTTTCAGGGAAAAAAATGAAAGAAAATAAAAGTATTAAAATGGACGCTGACCAAGAGAATGCAAATGTGTCCCATTACATACTAGTAAAGATTTGAACTTTATTTTGAATGAAATTCTTTGACTTTATGAGTCGGCTAATTACTATGGAAATGGACCATAGAAAACAAAAGCAGGGGAAATCTTTAAGTGCATTTCAGACGCTTGAAGTTGTGAAGGTTTTGAACGGGAGGTTAAAAGTTAACTACTGTTGCCAGAAAAATTACTTATACAGATGGATCCACGACCTACATTTTTTAACAGTACAAAATAAAGCTCTTCAAGTTCCTAACCAGTCTTTGTGGGCAGCCTCTTTGCTTTCTGAAGCATGAGTGACGGTGTCGGGGTCTCCTGCCCGCGTGAGTGCACGTGCTGGTTGGGACGAGGGCCCCGTTTGGCGTCTACGCGGATCCTGCGCTGACCAGGGAGGCTGGACGATGACACAGGGGTCCCGTCGCTGTTTGTGTACAAGCCAGTGGACACTGGTGACGTTGAGCCTGGGCCTTGTCACACCTCACATCCTACCTCCTCTGCGGCTGGTCAGTTCTTGTCCCACAAAACTGCGCCCTGCCCCACCTGATTCATCTTTTTGTGGATTACTGTAACTTCCTGATGATGTATTTGGGGCCAGACTCCACAGCAGACTGTTGTGTTTTTTCTTTTTAATTTTTTATTTATTTTTGGCTGTGTTGGGTCTTCATTGCTGCACGTGGGCTTTCTCTAGTTGCGGCGAGAGGGGGCCACTCTTCGTTGCAGTGCGCGGGCTTCTCATCTCGGTGGCTTCTCTTGATGTGGAGCATGGGCTCTAGGTGTGCGGGCTTCAGTAGTTGTGGCTCGTGGGCTCAGTAGTTGTGGCTCGCGGGCTCTAGAGCACAGGCCCAGTAGTTGTGGCGCCCGGGCTTAGTTGCTCCGCGGCATGTGGGATCTTCTCGGACCAGGGCTCGAACCCGTGTCCCCTGCATTGGCAGGCGGACTCTTAACCATTGCACCATGAGGGAAGCCCAGACTGTGTCTTATATCGTAAAGAGCGACCCACTGACAATCTGATGAAAAGATGACTGTGTGCAGCTGGCTGGTGACCGCCAGCTTGGAAACTAAAGCGTTTCCCAGCAGACTGATGGAGAGACTTATCCAAGTGGCTATTTCCTCCATTCTCCCCAGGCTGGTGCACAGGAGAGAAGGTAATTCCTCACCCACAGGGGATGCCTCAGGACCCCGGTTGTGGGGCTGAGTTTTCCTGGGCGAGAAGGGCCACTAGAAAATCTAAATTTGAAAAGCTTTCTGATAAAAAAGCTTCAGCCGCTGTCGCAGTGACCAGACGGTGAAAGGACAGCTCACTGGGTGGCTGTGAATGTTCTCAGTACCCCAGGTTCCACCAGGACAAATGTCAGGTACAATCGTGACCCACGATGTGATTCTGAGTGGGGCTGGAGATGGAAGTGAGACCTGTAACTGTAGTTCGTTTCTACACTTTAAATGTGGATTTTATTCCCTGCATGTTGGTGAAGGTGCCGGTTGGGTCTATAGTCCAGTAGGGCCGCTCGGTGCTGGGTGAGGAGGGTAAAGTTAGATGCTCCTACTTGAAAACCACTAATTGATAAAGAAGCAAAATCTCACAATTCCACGGTGCCTGTAGTATTTCTTCAGGGTAGTGTTTTGATTTCAGTTCGTGTAAAAAATGAAAGCATGTCTTACATTATGTTGCTATTTGGGGCGTGCGTGACCCTGAAGGCCAGGGTCCTCCTCCCTCACAGGGACATGGCCAGGGAAACGGTTGCCTCTATTCAATCACTTTTAGCACTAATATGTGTGTTAAAAACAGAAACCATCACCCCTACGGTCAAGATTCCAGATGTATTTCTTCTGGCTTGTTAATTATTTGGAAATTTCACCGAAACTATTTTTCTCCCAATTTAATAGAAATTTTTTAAATCCCTAAGCTTATTTTTAAACTGAAATGCCATACCTATTACATTTACACACTCTGTTTCTTTAATCCACAGCGTACAAGACAATTATATTCTTCCGCCCCTGTTTTTGGAAGCCCGGTCATCCAGCTGGCACTGCACAACCTACAGTGGTTACAAAATGTCAAGTATTACTACCTTCACAGTGCCCAAATCCATTTTTTTAAAATCCTAAAACACTTCATACATCATCACTCACTTTCCCTTTTTTAAACTTTATTTTACTGAGTTGCCTTTCCCCCCATGAAATTAACAAAAAAGGTACCTTAAGTTTAAAGAGAAAAGTGAAAGGCGAGAAGAGCAAGCCAGACTATTTCCGATATAGCCCAGCTTCTTTGATCTTTAAATAAGTGGCTAGATCATAGATTTCTTGTACGAGAACACCTGGAATAAGAACTGTGAAGACAATTCAAACATCCTTTAAAAGAATTAACCTGATGAGACTTAGGTCTCTTTTCTGTTTAGGCTTTTTTTTTTTTCCTTCTATTAACACTTTCTTTAATTCTTTAGAGTTACTGAATCAAGTGCTTTTTCTAAAATGCTTTTCTTTGAACTTATTTTTTGATATCTGTAACACTGACTTATGGATCAATTTTGGGATCTCCACCAAAACAAAACTCTACAGAGTACTGCATGATCTCAAAGGGTGAATCTTTTGTAAAGACCCTGCCACCCCACCCCTGCCTTCAGAGGGTTCAGGGTATTCTCGGAATAACTCTTTAAAATAACATGTAGACATTGTCCATTAAAGTCAGAAAAGGTATTTCTCTTCCTAATTCCACATTACACTGCAAAGTTTCAGTTTATTCACTCTAAGATTTCTTACTGCCCAAAAGATTTTTTTTCCCCTTTGCATTACGGAATGCCATAGCAAGACTTTTTATGGTCAGTTAGGAATTTAAATAACTCTAAGACAGTGAACTGTTCCTAGTACCATATACGTAAATGGTAACTTAGGTCATAATATTTACAAAACTCTTACTAAAACTTTTTGCGCTATAACAGTATCTTTCATAGATTAAACTGTAACTGAAAATAAGCATTTTACCGCATAAGTCATTAAAACTGGCCTTAAATTTAAGTCACTAGTTCTGTGGTGAGTTAATTGTTTTTCTTTTTTTTAACTTTTTAAAACTTTTTTTTTTGAGGTATAGTTGATGTCAATATTATATAAGTTTCAGGTGTACAACAAAGTGATTCACAATTTTTAAAAGTCCTACTCCATTTATAGTTATTATAGACTACTGGCTGTATCCCCTGTGCTGTACAATATATTCCTGTTGCTTATTTATTTTACACGTAGCAGTTTGTACCTCCACACTGGTAACTAGCTTGCTCTCCATCTGTGAGTCTGTTCCCTTTTTGTTATAGTCACTAGTTTGTTGTAATTTTTAGATTCCACATTTTAGTGAAAACACACAGTATTCACCTTTCTCTGACTTACTTCACTCAGCATGATGCCCAAGAGATCTTTCCCCCAGCAAGGCTGGAGTTTATGGTTCTTGGGGAAGACTCTTCTGTGTATAATTACACATAATTGTGTAGTTGTAACTCTGCTTTTATGACGCGGGGCGATACCTGTATGTGTCTGATGGCAAGTTCTTAATCAGAAATGCAGTATTCCCACTCACACTGCCCCCGCCTGGCAAACCCACTTCTGGATGGATGCAGGACACAGCATAACACCACCAAGTCCAGCCCAGATGCTTCGAAGGCTCGAAAGAAACCCAAATTCAAAATGCAACCCCCACCAGACAAGAATTGGCGAGAAGTTCCCATACTCTTCACTGGTTGTGACCATGGGTGCCAAAGCTGTTCCCACGGATAGTTTTGGGAAGGGCCTTGGCCCTGCAGACAGTGCGTCACCGGCGGTGCCAGGCCTAAGCTGCACGCACCGGGCTCCAGGGGCGCGAGCGGCGCTCAGAGGGGAGGTGGCACCCATCGCCCCGCCCCCGCCAGGCATGCTTGGGGGCGGCCAAGCACACGGGGGGCGGCGAGGGCACTCTCCGCAGCCGAGGGTACTAGGGCCACACGCAGGTGCCCAGGTGCTCGCTCTGCGGGCCCCTTTGGGGAAGACGACCCCAGGCCACCAGGCTGCAGGCCCCGCTCAGCCAGGCCCAAGGTAACCCCGAAGTGGTCGGCAGGAAGTCAGGGCTTCCACGCAGGCTCAGTGGTGCCATCACGCGTCCTGTAACTCTGAAGTTCCCCTCTCCCCCGCGCGCAACCACCCTGCAAGGTGGGCAGGTCCAGGCCAGCCCACGCTGGGCCTCGGTCACAAGAGAGGGTCTGCGCTCAG